CGCGGAGCGGCTGGGCCTGTGAGCCATCGCCGCTGAGCCTGTGCGTCCGGAGCCTGTGCTCCGCAACGGGAAAGGCCACAACAGTGAGAGGCCCGCGTACCGCAAAAAAACAAAAACAAAAACAAAAAATCTTATTCTAAACGCTGTAGTAAGGATTAAATAAGTTAATATTTAAAGCACCTAGCATAGTGTCTGACATATAGAAAGAGCTTAATAAGCATTCTGCCCCTTTAGTTATGGCTCCAGATTATGCTTCTTTAAATGTCAGGTAACTAAAGCAGAGGATGTCTGCCTGCTGCCAAGTATGATGAGAGGTGTAAAGACTAATCCATGTGGTTTGCTGCTGTCAGCCTTCATTGTTGATTTGGATCACTGAATAGGCAATCTACATAGGTCATTCAGATCCAAAGTGGAGAAACTCTCTGAAATGAAAACATACTTTTCCCCTGCAGACATGCTGCTTACATAACCAGACCTCCAGCAAGGCTCAGTCTTTGTGGCTGAGACTTTTCTTTTCTAGCCAAGCATGTTCATCTCTGCATCCTAATAGATTCTAGTATTCATGCATGCAAACATACTACAATACTTTTTAACTGAAAATCACAAAGGTGACACATCAAAAAGATTTAACATATTAAGACACGGTAATATATTAAGGGATATCTTCTCAGATATGAAAGTATTAAGAATAATTCTATAAGCTACACACCAAAATGTTTCATTATATCATCACAGGTCACAGAAACTTATCAGCTAGGAAAAAAATTTGCTTTCTTTTGTTTCAGATGTAGAATTGAATTTTTATATTATTTTCTATTTTAGAATTTGAATGTTTAAATTGACTGTTGCACAAAAACATAGCATGTTGTCAAATGTTTCATTTTATAATAACAGTATTTAACAAAAACTTTTACTATAAAATATTTTATTTAAAAGGTAAAGCAACATTAATTTCTAATTTTTTTTCTGAGTCATATAGAAGAGATCAAGAGTTATGGTTCCCACCTATGGTACCCATCTGGTGCTGGAGGAAAAATGACCTCATCTTGCCCAATTACTTCAGTTACCTGGCTCTAATGTTTTCAGCTCTCTGACCAATGTACAATTAGTTACCTAACTGCAGCTCACGGCAGAGGATTTTAATAAAATATGACTGAAAATGTAGATCCATTAAGCACAAATGATTTGTGCATAAACTATATTAAGATTCATTGTTTCACACACTTTACAGAAAATTAGTAAGCCAACTGGACTGCCTGCTTAATAGCTGCCTTTTTGCAATGAGCTAATGACATTGCCTCAAAATGTACTTTTGCGTTAATGTACTACAAACAACGGGGATTTTAATAAACATTTACAAGGATTTACAGTTCCTGACCACCTAGAGGATTTCTATCTCAGCATGTCTTTTTTCTTTTGATGTGGACCATTTTTTTAAAGTCTTTATTGAATTTGTTACAATATTGCTTCTGTTTTATGTTTTGGTTTTCTGGCCCTGAGGCATGTGGGATCTTAGCTCCCCAACCAGGGATTGAACCCTCACCCTCTGCACTGGAAGGCGAAGTCTTAACCACTGGATTTCCAGGGAAGTCCTGGATTTCTATCTCAGCAAAAGGTGAGAATTCTAGAAAAATAGTCACAAAGTAACGTAATTACCTTCCAGGAAGATTTCACTTAAAATAATTCCTGACAGACATCTAATCGGCTTTGTCAGTAATTTCAAACATCTATTTAGTGCCTGTTCTCTGTATGGCAGTTTTCCTGGCCCTTGGTTATAAAATGTAGAAGAGGTGAGATCTCTACTCAGACTGAAGCATACTCCAGCAGAACTTAAAAAAAAAAAAGAGCAACTTTAAAAGGCTTGAGAAAACCATACAAGTAATGAATGCTAGAGAGATCTTCGCCCAGGGCATGACCTTTTGTGCGTGTCCGTTTTTCCTCTCCCAACTCTGTTTGGGCATCAATAACACACACTATATATAGTGAGGGCAGGTGAGGAGGGTGGGTTTGAAGGACTCAGGTATCCAGCCTTTTCAGAGACTATTTCATAATCATTTTCTGTCAGAAAATGTTTCAAAAAATATTCCCCAAATGCTTCTCAGTGAAAAGCAAGAAGTCTATTTAGTAGAAAGGGACATATAGTAGCCATCTTCTTCAAATGAGCTGTTATCCCATAATGCTTTACTTGACTTTGCAAAATTACCCAAAAAACAAGGAGTGTGTCCCTTCCTGCACAGTCTCAGGATCCTGGCTCAATACCTAGAAAGCTCCTAATGACTTTTCTCATGACTTTGTGGAGCCATGAATATCCAGAAGCCTCCTAACGACTCCTTTCAAATCTTGTGGAGGCTGGGAGGGGTGGCAATTCTGCCCTAATACCTTTCCAGACGTTTGAAATGGATCCTGTTTTTTAGCTAATGTTTTATATAAATGTAGATTAAAATGGAAGATGTTTACTTAATAGCATTAGTAATGACAAAAGTTCTGAATAAGATTCCATCAGGGGTTGACAGCACAATTTAGTTAAAAGGTCTCTATATGGGTGCCGGAAGTCTTAAAGTGTATTCATGGCTTTACCATTAACAAGCTATAACATTATGTAAATCTAACAACAACAATAATAATGAAGTACTTCCAAGACCCTTTGTTAAAGAGCAAACTTAAAAGGCACACGTCTAACTATCAAGGCACTCATCTTCAGCAAAACATAACTCCTTAAATACTGAATAGTAACTACTTCAGCAACTCATATCTTTGGGAATTCAAACACAGATGTTGGCACATAGGTCAGCATCTCCCATGGGCACAAACTAGATGTTCAATAAATGTCTGATGTAAATGACTGACTGGCAAATAAATAATGCATGCTCACTTTCTTTCCTAGTGGCCCTATTTATTTGCTCATAACGTTGTATATACCCTGAATTTGGAAAGTAAAATAACTTTTAAACTCAAATTCTCAATTCGGCTAGAACACATTTTCAATACAATTGAAAATATTTTAGAAATGCTCTCCAGCACGTGTTAAAAAAAACAAAAACAAAAACAAACCCCTGAATGCATTTAAAGCCTCTTAGTAGTGATATCACCTAACAGTTAGTTTTACAAAATTTCAGACCCATCTCTTTTTGTATAGATTATGTATATATAGCCCCAAACAGCTTTAAAATGTAAGATAGAGCCAGTTTTGAGATATGATAAATAACTATACATTCAAATCTAGGTATTTAAAAATATCTAGATGGATGACATTTTCACTTGCATGACTGACAATGTGCATTACATTAGCATGTATTTTCTTTACCAATACAAATCCTTTGGTTAGTGGCACATTTCGGAACTACAGATCTCAAATTATATTGGATTCTTAGCTTAAAAATTGGTGTCTTTTGATCCAGAATTGCTAATAACAAATAGTTGGAAAAGCAGTATATTACACTAACTTTTCTAGCAACCGGAACTACATTTTTTTCAACTCCTACTGTCCTTCAATTTTAGAAGTGTCAAAAAACAAAAGAAACATAACTGTGAAGAGAATATTGTAAGGATAATGGAAAGACATGCAGTACCTTTACACTCTGATGGTGGAGGAGAACAAAAAGCCTTCTCTCCTTCAAAGAGCAGTGGTGAATAAAGACGACCAACTGGGGCTGGGTCTTGGGGCTGGTGGAAAGGAAATCCATGAGCAATTATTACACACACTGATAAACACCCAGTCTTCTTATTTTCCTTCTCTGCCTTCACAGAAACCTTTTCTTCCCTCTCAGATGGGA